CAGATTGCCAGTCTTCTTTAAATGATGCTGAATCCTTGCTTCAATTTCTTTACTTTTACTGAAAAATAAATAAAGTTGTTTATAAATACTCTGCAAAAATTCTTTTCTCTCTCTTAATTTTTGTCTTGTTCCTATTCCAAATATCTAAAAATTCATAATCCTTACACAGTCAGGGGTGAAAAATCATTTAATGTAATTTTAAATATTATCTGGATCAAAGTAAAACATATTAAAATATTTATTTTTAAATATTTGATTTCAGGATTTTATGAGTTGTATCTCCCTGGAAACGTTGACAATTTAAAGTATAGCAAAAGGACCAAATCTTTTTTTTTTTTTTTTGTTATTTGCAGCTACAAATTGTGATTCTGACTTCCCCTGTTTTTCTAAAATATGCCATACATATTTAATTACTTTAACAAAAACCAGTCCAAGGCACACAAAAAATATGGAAAATTTAAAAAGCCTTTATTCACATGGCTAATCTTAAAAAAAAAAAAAAAAAAAACTACGCTTTCGGTAAGGAACTGCCTTCACATATATACACATATATACATGTGCACATACATATACACATATGCATGCATGCACATATTAGAATGCATATACAACCACATACATATTTAACAATATATAATGAAAATCTGTAAAATATCTAAAAAAAAATTCTATAAAAAATTTACAAAAAAAAAAGGAAAAAAAATCTAATTCGCCATTTAACTATCTGCCTTATAGACCAGATATAGTTTCCATCCCCCAGGCTTGATCGAAAATATCCCTTTTGGACAATTTACATCAGTTGTAAAGAATTTGTGATAAAGTAGAAGATTTTGAAATTAAATCACAAGATATGATTCACAGATTTAAACAGTGTGGCTATAAAAACAGAATCATTGAGAGAGGTCTGGATGCAGACTTGATGCAGTGCAATCTGAGCTGCATCCAATGCTTTTTAATGGGCTCACCTAACCCCACCCCTAGCCCTACCCCTCACAGTGATGTCACTCACTCTATTTGCGTGCATTGTATCTGACATTGCATCGCTGAGTAATGCAGTCTCTGCTTGCATCATATAGGCTGCATCCAGATACTATTGGAGTAGTTTATAAATCTTATAATAAAGCAAAAAATAGTAGCAGATATGACCTAATAATACAAAGACCTAAATCGAATCAGTAAAGTTTATTTAGTCACGCAATACAGTACAGAGGCAAACAAAATTCAAGAGAATTGTAGAAAAATTGTAGAAAATAATTGGAATATCTTGATGAGTGACCCGCATCTTAGGGAAGTTTTACCTGTATCCCCCATTATTGTATTTTGAAAAGATAAACCTGTGAGAAGCCATCTCTCCACTAAGAAGACTAATACTTGGTTAAGTCAAACAACAGAAAACTACAGATGTGGTAATTGCAATCATTGTGATAACATACTTAAGATGAACATATTTAGAGATCCATCATCAGGCCGTGAATTTAAGATCAATTCATTTATTAATTGCTTGTTGTATATCAACTGGAATATGCATGCAGATGCTTTTATATAAGAATCGATCGCGTCTATATTTGATATAACGAACTTCTTGAGCTGATGATAATAACATATGCATGATTATTGAAGTGTCTCCATCCTCTGATTCATTCAGAAAAAAAGGACAAGCACGAGAGTGAAGTTCGAAAAAAAATAGAAGCCCGACAAAACTCAGGATCAAAATTGTTTTAGCCACCTGAATCTTGAACAAACTGCTGTGTTTATCTTTGCCTTTTGGACTATTATGAACTGGGAATGACAAAATTACTCTCTAACAGAGCTTACATGTGCTGGTGAAGATTACAGACACAGATGAGAGGTTTGCACTGACTGTGGGCTATATTGTGTTTGTTTTTGAACTCAGATAAGTACTAATTGTATGATGTGTGTACTTTTTCTGTAAATAATAATATATTGTAGACTGTAAGGGTCTGTATGTGTTCATTTGTTGCATTTATATATTTATTTTATATAATTACAGACATTACAGTAGCCTATTTTGCACTGTCATTGATCTGCAATTATAATCAAATCAAAAAAGTATTTGTGTATAAATCATCTGTTTTGTGAGAAGTGCTCCTCATATTATATGCAAGCGACCCATACAGCTTTACATTAGATTGAGCAAGCATGACGTCGACTTTCAGGTGCTTTGTTTAATGCTCTCCCAGAGAGCAAAATTCATGTGGCTCAAATCCGGCCCACACCAGACACTTAAATCTGGCCCACATACCGCATGGAATGATGGCAATAGGGCGGTCCACTCCTGTTTGCCAGATATGGGCCACAATTAAGCCATAGACATTTCACATGTCAGCCAGAATTTACCCAAATGAACCAGAACTGAGCCTATTTTGGGCCACATTCTGCTTTTATTCTGGTCCAGATCTGGCCTACACCTTACACTTGCTGGGTGTGGCAAAGTACAAAAATCCCAGCATGCATTGCAGTATGAATACATTCTATTGTTTATTGATGCACCAGTTTTCATAATTTGCTGTTGATTCTGCTGTTTATGTTGACGTTGTTGATTTTGACACTGTCTCCTTTTTGTGATGTTTGCGAGTTTTGTTCATTTTGTTAATTGTCTCCGTTGTTGAGGTTCATACGCTGATAATTGATTTCTCTGTGAGTAGAAGTTGAAACATAGAATTTTTTTAGCTTATAAACCTTCATAATTCTGTGGCATGTCCAAGCATATTATTATGTTGCTTCTAATAATGGAATAAACATTGGCTATAATCAGTGAATTATATTATTTCATTACAGGTTGTGCCTTATTTATTTTATTATTTTTTTTTTTTACTTGGCTTGTTTGCTGGAATGAATAACCTTTTGTAGCAAAGTTCTTAAAAGTTACAGCAGCCCTAAAGAAAATGTATATTAAGAGATTTATGGCTATGAGCCCAACTAAAGCAAACACTTTTCTCCATGATGTTGACTATGTCTTTGTGGTCCATATATATTTGATAATAACTGTGCCACATTTGCTATTTGTTCTCTGAGCCATTTTAGGCTCACAGCCACATTAGCCAGAGCTTACTATGCCAAATATTTGCCAAAATTGACCGACATATGTTTTAAAATAACTTGGCCACATTTGCCATATCTTCTCTGGGTCACATAAGGCTTACGTTTGCAATAGCCATAGCTTACTCTGCCAAATATTTGCCAAAAGTAGCCCACATATGTTTTAAAATAACTGGGCCACATTTGTCATATCTTCTCTGGGCCACATTAGGCTTACAACTGCAATAGCAAGAGCTTCCTGTGCCAAATATTTATCAAAAGTGGCCCACATTTGTCTTAAGATAACTGGGCCACATTTGTACTTAAACGTGTGAGCCACTTTAGGTTTAGACCCAGATTACTCTTAAATGACTATGCCACATATTTGCCAACTGTAGCCCACATTTGTCCTCCATTATTTGGGCCAAATTTATCATTTGCCACATGGGCCACATTGGGCTCACATTCAGATTACATTTTGCCATAAGTGCTAAATCTTTGCCTTAAATGGCTCATATATGAATTTGAATATTTGGCCCCGCTTTGCTGTTGAACAGGTGGGCCACTTTAGGCTCACATTCATTTTGTCTGGGCCAAAGGAATACCACCAGTGCCGCATAACTGCCTAAAGTGGCCCATATTCCTAAGCCTTCTGGGTTATTTCTGGGATAATTGCTATTTAGACCAAATGAAAACGACAAATCCATAGGAACAAGACAGCCTAGTTCAACTAGCCTATAGGCTATTTCCTTTTTGAAAGCATGAAAAAATATAAAAGGTTGCATATGCTTTATGTTGTGATTATGAGCTAATGTGCATGCTTCTCTAACGTTCCATGGTCAGTTGCCATAACAGGAAACGTTAACTCAGAAATCTGACTTAATAACTCGCAATTCTGACTATAACTCTCAGTTCTGACTTAACTCGCAATTCTGACTTAACTCAGAATTGCGACTTTATAACTTAGAATTCTGACTTTATATTTTTTTATAAAAATAATTAGATTAAGAAATACATTTTTGTTGCACAGTGGCTAGCACGTTTGCCTCACAGAAAGAAAGTCGCTGGTTCGAGCTTCAGCTGGGCCAGTTGGCATTTCTGTGTGAAGTTTGCATATTCTCCCCATGTTCGTGAGGGTTTCCTCCGGGTGCTCTGGTTTCCCCCACAAGTTTAAAGACATGCTGTTTAGGTAAATTGGGTAGACTAAATTGTACACAGTGTATGTGTGTGAATGAATATTTCCCAATGATGATGGGTTTCAGCTGGAAGGGCATCCGCTGCGTAAAACATGCTAGATAAGTTGGCAGTTCATTCTGCTGTGGCAACCCCAGATTAATAAAGGGACTAAGCCGAAAAGCAAATGAATGAAATACATTTTCTTTTAATGTAAATGTTCTGTTTTGCGATTAACTATGCATTTTCTAAAAGTAAGGGAAAAATCTATATTTTCAGTTACAAAAAGAGAATCGTATTGCCATAGCAAATAAATTGCATTATCGAATAAAAGTCTACCATTTTGTATCAACATCTATTTTTGTATTTAATTTACTCTAATGTATTAGGAAAATATTGACTGGAAACGTACAATCGGAAATTCTAAAGTAAACTTACAGTAATAAAGTAACACCACTGACAGATAAAGCATCCCTTTCTTGAAATGTCTACTTGATCAACTAAATAAAGCCAATTCTTCTCTTAAAATCAATGTTACGATTAAATCCACTCAACCCATTTAATCCCACCAGTCACAATTGTGACCACAATTTTGGCTTGCATATTTTTCTGTATTAAAAAGCAACTCTTATTATAAACAACATGTTTATCTGTAATGAAAATTTAAGATGTCTAAATGAGTTCAGGGTAGGTCTAACATGTTTGGGTAGTTTGGCCATGCATGCGACCATAAACATTAATTTCCTAGTACTGCCATCTGAATGGAAGGATAATGTCAAAGCTCTGAAATGACGGGTAAGTTTTCTAAGTTAATTTTAAAAATAGGAAATACATCTTCTGCATGCATCATCATGAAGGGTTATCTATAGACCAATTACCATGTTTGTAAACATTCAGGATGCGCGCAGGGAGGTGGCAGAAAAAAACGGGAGCGCTAGCACTTACAGCGAGGGAATGACATCCGATGCAATACAGAGTTTGTTGTTGTCTTAGAAATAAGATATATTGATTGCTCATTATATATATTATTTACATAATGCTTTCAGCATATTATAACAGCTCGTCAGCCAATGATAAGCACAGTGATTCAGCAAAATTAACGTTAAAGTGAACGGCGTTTGTCTGACAGGTTAATTTGCCATAGCACCCTCCCAATGGATATTGGATAAGACGAAGGGCTCTATTTTGACGGTCCATGCGCAGAGCGCAAAACGCAGGGCACAAACGCTTTCAGGGCGTGTCAGGACGCGTTTTTGCTAATTTAAGGACGGGAAATCTGCCTTGCGCCATGGCGCATGGTCTAAAAGGTTTGAGTTTTTTTTCTTAATGAGTTATAGGTGTGTTTTGAGAATAAACCAATTAGAGTCTCATCTCCCATTCCCTTTAATAATCAGCTGCGTCGCGTCAAGAGCGCATTCGCTATTTACAGGACGCAAAGTAAGTCTAAGTGGAAAAAATGAGCATTTCACAAGCAAACAGTAACAGTTAACAGTTTTTTAACAGAAAATTGTTAAACAGAGCATCTACTGCATGAGAATGAGAGATAATGGAACTACTTTCACATTTGCTCTTGGATAGGGAAACCTTTATGCACAGACATCAATTAGTCTATAAATAATTAATTGCGTTTGTTAAGCGCAAATATTCCTTTCAAAACTATTTCTAAATTCAGTTCTAATTTCCAGCAAACGAATAAATTAATAATATTAACAAAATGTGCTCAAAAACCTGAGTTATATCCTAAAACACATGCTGCGCCCCATATGGTCTAAAACCTGACAGGTGGGCAAATCTAAGCTTGTTTTTAATAAAAACAAATATAAATATGGATATATTAAATAATACTGCTAATAATAATGGCATTATACAAAAGCAAATTGTTATGAATGAACTGAAAAAGCCTCCCGAGATGAAAAAGACATAAAAGCAGTGATTTTTCATATTTATGTTGGCTAGAAAATAATGTTTTGCAATATTTTAATCCTTTATATTTATATCCTATATCTATTCTTATTATATCCTATATATATCCTTAATATTTAAATTTTTTCATATGTAAAGATATTTGCCTATTGCTCTCTTGTGAGTATTAAGCAGTGCATAAGCGAGGCGCAACTCTGCGCTGGAGTTTAGACCGGGTTAGTTTTGGTCTAATGAAAAATCTATTATAGTTTCTCAAAATAGCAACGCGCCAGCGGTCCACCTCAGAACGCCTCCCTTTTTAGACCAGAACGCCTATGGGCGCACAAATGAGCGCTAATGCATTTGCTATTTAAACAGCGTAGCGCAAACGCCTCAAAACGACCCACACTGCGCCGGGTGTATGATAGGACCCGAAATGACCAAGCATCCAGCCCCAAATATACAACTATCTCACTGAAGCTCCAAGTGATTTTACAAGAGAGAAGTTAAAGGCCTACAAGTCTTTGGATGCCAACAGTGTTCTGTGTAGTCATTTGCAAGAAATAATGCTTCATGATAACCAGATTTAACACTACGTAGAGCTAAAAACCGAGGTTCTGCTTAGCCAAAGACAATGAAAGAAGACAGAGTTAACATTATACAAGCTAGAGCCTGGGTTATTAATCACCAACACGCAAAACAACTGCATTCTGACAGCGAACTGCACCTGTACGGCAGGATATGTGAACCTACACATAAAGGTAAAGTTGGTTTTATATTCACACATTCAGACGTTCTCCTTAATAATATAATGACATAAAAGTATTATTTGCAAACTCTAAATAGCGAAATCTTATTAGCAGCCAATGGCTATCAAAGTACAACATTGTTCACAGTCAAATAAACAGTGTTAATGTTGTTTTCAAGTCACACTTGCAGGTTATTTTAGACCGAATATTTAAAATGTTGTGGTAAACAATATAGGGAGTGTGTCACAAGTTGTCACTGAATGAATGTGTGAATATAAAAAGATTACCTCAGTAACTTAAACGTTCAGGTTTTATTCTTAGCATTCAGTATCGGCAGTTTAATTCACCTTTGTAAAAGTTTTTGCTGAAATCATTGCTGCAATCAAAAACGAGTGATGTGTCTGATTCAGCATAGCGTCAACTTACTGGATATGACATGACAACTGACAACAAAGACGTCTGCAAATAGCATTAAAGCAGTGTGGTCGAATTTGGCATCTTACTGCACAACATGACATCTTTCCTATTGCAGGCTGCCTTTTTTTTCAACCAGGGACCCGCGTGATGTCATGTGTGACGTAGGTTGGTAATTGGTCTATACATACAGTTGAAGTCATAATTATTAGCCCCCCTGACTTATTAGCGCACCTGTTTATTTTTTTCCCCAATTTCTGTTTAACGAAGGGAAGATTGTTTCAACACATTTCTAATCATAATAGTTTTAAAAACTCTAAAAATATTAGAATATAAATATATTACTCTATATTATACTCTATAATAGTTTTAAAATTTCTAATTTCTAATAATTTCTGATAATTTTATCTTTGCCATGATGACAGTAAATAATATTTGACTAGATATTTTTCAAGACACTTTTATACAGCTTAAAGTGACATTTAAAGGCTCAGCTAGGTTAATTCAGTTAACTAGGCAGTTTAGGGTAATTAGGCAAGTTATTGTATAATGATGGTTTGTTTTGTAGACTTTCAATAAACAAATTAGGTCAAAGGGGCCTAATAATGTTTTCCCATAAACGGTTTAAAAAAAAATTAAAACTGCTTTTATTCTAGCCGAAATAAAACAAATAATACTTTCTTAAGAAGAAAAAATATTATCAGACTGTGAAAATTGCCTTGCTCTGTTAAACGTCATTTGGAAAATATTAAAAAAGAACAAAAAAGAAAAAAGGGGGCTAATAATTCTGACTTCAACTGTACATATTAAAATTATATTATTACATTGTTTTTTTTTTCTGTTGTCAAACTGCTGATAATTAAAGACGGTCACAATTGTAACCGGTGGTATAACACAGGGAGTCTATGTGCCCCATATGTCATTCTGTGTCAGACTGTGATGGTCACACAACAAATAATCCTTTTGCATTTATCCATTTGCATTATCCAAGGCAAACATTTGGCACTTATGACAAAAGGTAATCTGACTGTGAGCCTAATGTGGCCCATGTGGAAAATGGTAGATTTGGCCCAACTCATGGAGGAGAATTGTGGGTCAGAGTTGACAAAAATTTAACATAGTCATATAAAGGTAATCTGGGCCTAACCCTAAAATGTCTTACATGTGTAGGTGCAAATGTGGCCCAGTTATCTTAAGACATGTGGGCCACTTTTGACAAATATTTGGCACAGTAAGCTCTGGCTAATGCAATTGTGAGTCTTAAGTGGCCCAGAGAAGAAATGGCAAATGAGGCCCAGTTACCCAAAAACATATGTGGGCCACTTAGCAAATATTCGGCACAGTAAGCTATGGCTAATGTGGATTTGAGCCTATAGTGGCCCAGAGAAGATATGGCAAATGTGGCCCAGTTATCCTAAAACATATGATAAACAAAAAATGAACAAAACTCACAAACAGGATACTAAAAGTGTCCAAATCAACAATGTCAACATAAGCAATAGCAGAATCAAAAGCATATCATGAAAACTGCAGCATCAATAAGCTATAGAATGTATTCATACTGCAATGCATGCTGGAATTTTTGTATTCTGCCACACCCAGCGTGCATAGCAGTATGAAATATTTTGATTTGTTACCATTTTTGAGGTACAAGGTCAGATTCTTGAGGTCTGAGTGTGTCTTTACCATTTCTGAAATAGGTAAAAAATATATATATATATTTTATTTCAGTTCACTATCCTAACTAGAGCCATCATTCCATTCAGGAAGAGGTCTGGATGTACTGTAAGTTTAGGCCAGATCTGAGCCAGAATAAAAGCAAACTGTGGCCAGGAATTGGGTCAGTTCTGGTTCATTTGGTTGAATTCTGGCTGATGTGTGGTATTGCTATGGCTAATTGTGGCCTAGATCTGGCAAACATGAAGAGGACAAAGTGCCATCGTTCCATGCAGTATATGGGCCGGATGTAAGTGTCTGCTGTGGGCTGGATTTGAGTCAAGTGATTTTTTTTGCTGGGTATTTATTTGCGTTTATAATGAAGTTTTTAATGATTTACTATAATATTATAGCTCCTATAATTTGTTATTTTGCAATAATTACACTTGATTATTTGTGTTAAACTGCTGCATAAGATTGCTATTTTGTTATTTTTGAAACAGCCAGACAATATTTACTTCTTGTTAATAGAATAAATAAAATTTCAACAAGTTAAACTAGTCTTTAAACTAATTGCTGGCTGGAGTTTTTTTATTATGTAATTTATTTACACTATAGATCTAGACTCCCTGGGCCCGTTTCATAAAGGAGGTTAAGTGAAAAATATTTTAACCCTGAAATGAGAGAAACTCTGGGTTTTCCGTATCAAAATGGCAGGTTTGTTAAACTCGAGAAAGCAGGGTGAGTAAAGCCTGTTTCTGAAAGAGAGGTAACTTTAACTCAGAATCAGTTACCGTGGTAACTTACTTTGTGAATCTAACCTGGTCAGGAGCAGGTTTTATTCTCTAAACTCAGAGTTTCTGTCGGCCTCCTCCCCTTTTTAATAACAAAGTGGTATTTCTCGCCTTAGCCCTACGTTTTCACCCTCTCATTTTAATGCTCATTTTACACATGCACATAAAAACGAGTGATAGAAACGTTATGATGCACATAACTTTTGAAAATTTGCATAAAAAAACATGCTCATAACTAAGTAGGATAAACTTTTATTCGATAAGAAAATATGCGCATTAA